AAACTAGCAATGTGATCCATGTTTATTAATACGTTAGACCGGCCGCTCGGCCTCATGCGACGTCACACGGCGGGTGGTTCTTTTTTTATGCGGAAGTAAAAATGTCATACAAAAACGACGCCAGATGTCAATGTAGTGTATATTTCTGTATATTTTTTTGAAAATCTAGTACATCATTTTCCTACACATTTATTCACTGGGGTCTCTAACCTGCAAGTTGCTCTTTAACCTAGAGGCCGTTTTATGATAAAGTTTTGGTAAAATTGGCCATTTTTATGACGATGAAAATCTTAGGTCACAGGCTCCTCCAACAGTGCAACACAATAAAACAGAAAAAACTGAAAAAAGTAAATACAAAAAGAAAAATAGTAAAAAAAGTGCAATAAGAGTCTATATGCAAGTGATTGAATATGATATATTAGATAAATAATTTCTAAATTGCAGCCAGATACATTTTGTGGATGTTGTTTGAAAAGTTCAGGGGTCTTTTGTAATTCCGAGGGCTTTCTTCCTGAGCAGCTGGGAGTAAAGGTCCTCCATGGATGGCAGCTCCGTCCTGGTGATGTTCTGTGCAGTTTTCACCACCCTCTGTAAAGCCTTACGATTGAGGGCGGTGCAGCTGCCGTACCAGGCCGTGATGCAGCCAGTCAGGATACTCTCTATGGTGCACATTAGGACATGCAAATATGTTTGTTGTCTCCTACAAAGACAACCAATTATCTTAAAAAAAAATATATATATATATATATATATTTAGTTTTACATTGTGATGCAAAACACCCTGTTTGTGTATTAATTCATTGCTTAAAACATATTTTTTTCTCTATCCTTTCATTTAAAATCCGCCCCGCCCCTCGCTCCAATGACCATTAGACCATTTAGTAAGGTAAAAAGCAAAAAGGTCTCTCGAATGCTCTTCCATTTACGTGTTTTATAAAAAAAACAATTGGACGGTCGATACACGGATTCAATCACACAATTACAAGATCAAGACTTGATAAAAAAACGTAATTTGTAAAAAACAAAACATATAAATATGTATCAAATGTTAGTTCCCCTATATGTCAGTTTTAAAATGGGAATATTATTATCTTTCTTATTGCTCATGAAAGTAAGAGGACAAAATGAACTTTTAAACTTAATGTGATTCTAAGAAAAAGACAGAAAATGTTGCCCTCAAACACCCTTCTTTGTTTTCCTTTAATATGTGCTTTATCATTTTCATGAACTTTCATGTACAGTTTATGCATTTCATTTCATTTTTTTTTCTTTTTCCCCCAGTTATTATTGTAACATTACATCTCAGCAGCACTTATTTCAGAAGGCCAACATAATCATCCACAGTTCAAGTGCTGGCTTGTCTGAGAATTTGCTGTGTCATTATTTTACCCTGTTCTACATTTTCTGTCTCCACTGTCAAATCAAGCATTATAGCCCAGAAAACAATGTTAAACAAAAATAGGATGATTAACTTTTCATTAATGTAACTATACCTGTGAATTTACCTCTTGTTTTCTTTGTTTAGGTACGACATGGACGCAGGAGATTGTCCCTCTGATCATGAGTGGAGGAGATCCAGCATCTGTGGAGACTCTTCCTAACTGGGAACGTGTTCCCTGGCTGGAGGAAATTCAGGCCTACACATTTAACCTTGAACAGAGGGCGTCTCCACGAATGTTAACCACACACTCCCCGTACAACATGATGCCTCCATCCTTCTTTGAAGTGAAGCCCAAGGTATCAGAATCAGAAATACTTACCGTATATCATCTCAGGGCGACATTGGTTTTAAAAGATAAAAAATATGACATTAATGAAAGTTAAATGTCCAATAAAAGATCAAATAGCACATATAAGAACCAAAGTTAAATGTCCAATAAAAGATCAAATAGCACATATAAGAACCAAAGTTAAATGTCCAATAAAAGATCAAATATGATATTTAAGAATTAATCAAATGTCCAATTACAAATAAACAAGATATATAATCATCAGAATTAAAGTGAAATGTCCAATTAAAGATAAAAAGTCAGGTGCCAGATTGACTCAGAGGGCCTGACGCTCAGTCTGATGGACTCCCTGTGGCGCTCTGTGGTGCATCTTCGTGAAATGACTCGAATGACTTAGCTTAGGTTTGCCTGACCAGCATATCATGGAGTGGGTGGGACACATAGGGTGCGTTTCACTTCTCTTATTTTTCATCTCCTCTTATTTTTCATCTCCTCGCTCCTCGGTCTCGGTCTCACCGGAAGTTGATTTGTCTGCGCCATCTTGACTAGCGTCCCAGTGGCCTTATTTGTGCCGGAGGACCGAGGATAGAGGAGCGAGGAGCGATAACGGAGGAGCGATAATCGAGGACCTACCAGACCATCCTCCGGTGAAATCCTCAGACACTCGCCCCCCTGTCAGACGATCAGCTGTGCGGCGTCATCACAAACGGACGCCGCTTCACGTGACACTCCGGAGGAAACGACGTCCCATTGCTCTTAAACTCATTTCCCTGCTTCTCGTGCTTTCCTTGCGTCTTTCCATGCTTCCCTGGTGGGAGGGAATAGTCGCAGGGAAACGACGCAAGTGAGGGACGCAAGGAATCCATTTAACCGAAGTGAGACACACCCATAGTCTAAAATGATCCGTACCTTGGACAGTGTAGCGGCCAAATTCATAGTTTAAAAGTATGATTGCCGCTGAGGCACCAGATAGCGAATCTTACAGTACGCAGGGAATGATCCAAATCCAGACAAGATCGTCAGTTCTGTGCATTTTATTCCTATCACAAAGGTACAATGAACAGGTTTACTTTCTTTAAGCTTTCCCTATGGCTTGCTTGCTTGCTTGCTTGAATCACCCTGATAGAAAACGTTATGCTCTACTAGTGCTCTGGCTCCCGCCACCACCTGTCTCCAATATATACAATTACACCAGGTGCTCTAATCACCCAGTGCCCAAAGATGCCTTCAAAATAAAAGTATAAAACTACTTTAACTAACCACAATAATATCACTAAATAATAGAACATTTACTATATACAAAAACAATAAGAAAACACATTTTAAACTATTAAATAATATATAGCTCCAACAGACAGCGTCGTCTTTTTTGACACAGCTTTCAAAGATCATGTACTTTTTGTCTAGGCAGTAAATGAGCCATGAATGCTATGAGGAAATTCTTAATGGAACAGATTCGAATATCACACACAGTTTGTTTGAAGAAAAGTGTCTGCATAGATCCATCATTTAATTAATGGATGTTGTATTATCTCTGCAGGTCATCTATGTGATGAGGAACCCCAAAGATGTGTTTGTATCTTCCTTTTTTTATCATGGGACGGCTTCCTTCCTGGTAAACCCAGGCCCACAGACCGACTTCCTCCACAAGTTCCTTGATGGAAAAGGTTGTTGTCACTTGTCACCTATGCTCCTCATATTTATTAAAGATGCAATGTGTAAGATATGGTAAGAATTATTTATAGTTTTGAACATGAGGGGGACAAAGAAAGAGAGCTGCTTTGAGTGGGGCTACAATACACCTATGGTCCATGTTCAGTTTGATTCTTTATTGGTCAAAAGTGCTCAAATGGGCTGATGCCACACGTGAAGATTGGAATATAGCAGTGTTATTATTTGACCTGCTCTCAGATTTTCACCAGTCTTGATTATTTTACATATTCTTGCCCACTGCTAAAACCCTATCAAGAAATGTTATTTGAGTAGATACAGATTTGAAACAAGTGTGATAATCTGCCAGTACAATGAAATAATTCAACTTAATGAAACATCTTGAAATAAGAATGATTGAAATAAGATATCTGAATGCTATAAAAGTGACAAAGGTCTTAAAACAGAAAAACATAGTCAAAACAATATCATCAATATACCATCATTAGCATGCCATTTGACATTTTTTGAAATTAACATGAAGACAATTAACATTGACAATGTAAACAATAATTGGGCCAGGGGCCAGGCACCTAGCTCATAACATTTGGCACTGAATAATACTGAATGAGACAAAAGATATTATAATTAAATTATACAAATATTATTTTTTACCAGCTCTCAGAATTTCAGAACGTTTGATATGTTTATGTCATCTTTTACTGCTGTTAGTTAGTATTATTACTTTGATATCAGTAGTAGAGATGAAACGCTGACTCTTATTTATTGGAGAGTTATAATTATAGTTATGGTTATAATTATTCATAATAATTGAATACTTGTGTCTTCTTTGCTTTACAGTTATGTTTGGCTCATGGTTTGACCATGTGAAGAGTTGGCTGAATGCTGAGGATAAAGAGCACATCATGCACATCTCCTATGAAGAGATGATATTGGTGAGACTCCGGAACAAATCCTTACAAGAATACAGTCTATATACTGTGAGAGTCATTGCAGGACTATGAGCTTATCTGTGTTTCTCTGCAGGACCTGAAGGACTCTGTGGGCAGAATCGCTCAGTTCCTGAATAAATCTCTTGACCCTGAGGTGATAGAGAAGATAGCCGACCGATGTTTGTTCAAGAACATGAAGAACAACAACATGTCAAACTATTCTGCGGTTCCTCGTGAATTCATGGACCAGACAAAGTCTGAGTTTCTCAGGAAAGGTGAGTGTTAATAATTAGTACCGTACATACAGTACGCATTTAATTCCAGTATTATCAATTTTGATCTATAAAGAGAAGAGCCAAACTAATGTTGTTTCGTCTGTATTATCACATAATCGAAATGACAACCAAATACAATATTCAGGGTGTCCGCGGGGTCTTAAAAATTATTAAAAGTTGACAAATCAATTTAGCAAAAATGAAGGCTATTAAAAAGTATTAAACGGCATTTTCCAAGGTATTACATTTTGTAGCTTGTTTTCAATAAGTATATAAATTGTCCAAAGAGGTTGTATTCTACAATCTGCCTGAATGTAATCATTGCGTAGGTGTGTAGTGTGATTCTGTGTAGTTTATTTATGGCATCCCGTTGGATTTGACGTCATCTGAACAGGACATCGCACGCTCACTGCTTGATAGCGCGAAGGTCCGTTTACGCCGGTTTTAAACAACATCGTCATGGGGAAATGCAAGTCTGTGTCCAAATGGTTGGAAGATAAGGAGGAAGGACAATCCATACTGCATAATAGTAAATGTGAGGTAAAGTGTGTCGCCAATGTAACCGGTTAAAACTCCAAGTGGCGATGAGGTCTTAAAATGTATGGAAAGGGTCTTAAAAAAGGTCTTAAAAGGTTTTACATTTGACTTCAGGATTCCTGCTTATACCCTGAAATAACTCAAACGCATTACACGTGGCATTCGTTTACATTTTTTAGGCAATTTAAACTAATTTCTTCAACAAGGTGAAATGTTCCTCCAAAACATGATGTTTATAATGACAAACACTTATACAGCAATGCCTTCAGCCTGGTATTATCTGTATCTGTATTTGGATAGAAAACATCGATAGGTGCAATTCCCTTTTTTTTATGAATACAAATAAATACAAAAATAAACAGTGGTTGATATGTTTGTCTTTTTGTCTTTGTCTATTTAAACTCTGATGAAGACACAGTTACATAATAAAAAGGCTGCAGTTCAGTCCTGTGCTCCAGTTCCTTTCTATTCCCTTATGATTCAGAGGCATTCCGCTGAAAGACACGAGGACAACTTGTTTCAACAGTTTCACATACCGTTCCTTCAAATGATCTGATTCCTTTTTCTTTTTTTTCCATGCTGTGTTTCAGGCATTGCTGGAGACTGGGAAAACCAACTAACAGTAGCAGAAGCAGAGTACTTTGATTCTGTTTACAAAGACAAAATGAAAGATGTGAAATCGAAATTTGTATGGGATTTAAAAACACTTAATGGAAATAATTAAGTCATTCCTCTCTGTAATGATACTCTAAACCCTCTTTGTGTTCACACTCCAGTAGAACATTTTGCATTGCACCAAAAAGCAAGTCATTGTCATGGCTGGTAAAATGTGTTTTTAAAAGTGCTTTCTAACGTACTGCCTACTCAATCTATATTTACTTCATACTGACTGTGCAATTAACAATAGAGTATGCTATTACAGTATGCTCGAGCAATAGAGCTTTTTTGGATTAAATAACTACATGAATTGAGACTTTAACGAGTAAATGTTGGATACAATTTTTTTTACAAAATAAATCAATATAGAATTCTTGATAGTTTACATTGTTGACCAAAACCGACATATCGTCTTACATACTGTTACTCTACTATTGTTATTGGTTGTGTGTTGTCGGTGGCCAAATACACAACATAAAAATGTTAAGGAAATGAATAGGCTTTTTTTGTTTGTAAGCCTCGAGAAAAAATAATACATTTAAATAAAATCCAGATTATATCTCAGTTAACCATATAGAAGAATCCAAATAAACTAACAATGTTTTGTTCTTCAGAGGCACATCACTTCATTATTAGTTTAATGAAAAAACAACAGTCGGATATACAGTATATTATCAATTTAGCTGTTAGTCACCAATCTCTCCATAACAATGAAGCAGCGGCCTCTACTGGCGAGTTAGGGATGGGTGAATCAGGAGTCACCCATTAACAGTCAAACATGTTTTAAACTAGTACATAACCACAGCAAGGAGAGGTCCTTGAACATGCAGTCATAATTGAGCACAACAGATATTAGGCTGGTTGGTCAAGTGGTATTTTAGTTTATCCCGGCGGTGCTCACACACACCATCACAAGATGTCCCAAGATGTAATTTGAGAGTGCATTGAGGGAGAATGCTTCTGTGTATCAAATGAAACTAGAGTGATGCATCTAGTAATGGAAAAGTCTATACAATGAGTTTAAACTGGTTTTGAAATAGTCTCAATTCAATAATGATGCCTCTATATTGTTATGAGTGTGTATTAGCCCCTTTGTATCATATTTGTTATAAACTCTGCACTCCTGAGCTGACAATTCATTATCTCAAAAATAACATGTAAACCACCTATAACTGAAGTAAGCAGTATTATTTTTATCTTTGCGAAATATCTTTTTCATTTTTCTTTTTTCAGACATTCCTTTATTATAGCATCTTTAAATACCGATCATGTATATTGATTAATAAATAAACATTTCTCTTAAGGCTCTGAGTTTCTGTTTCCTAAGCTGCAGATAGCTTACCATTCTCTTTCGTTTTCTCCTAACATGTAAACAATATGCTTTAGACAAATATAAGCCTTTCCCTGCAAGTTGAAATATACTATAATAACCAACATAGAAAATACAAATAATATATATTTAAGTTTGTTATATTAATATGCAATCAAATGTATTTCATTCTACTTTATTGAATAATTGCACCTCTATTTCCAGTTAGTTATTATTAACAAGGCAGTTTACAATGTAGAATCCAGTCAAAAACATTGATGTCACTTTTAACCTAATGCTGTATTCAGGCTACTGGTGGAAAAAACCGTTTGAAAAATATCTTCAGTTTAGCGCTCCATTATACCTATCAACTCGATAGTTTATTATTAGTTTATTCGTCAATTTGTGTGCAACCAAATTTCCGTTCACACTTGAAATATTAGAAATATGAAAGGGGTGATACCATGGTTGATACGAATTGACTTTAGCAGACTACAGCCTTAGATATAATTTGATTACCAATTATGACAAACTTTCACGAACAAAAATACATGACAATACAACATCCCAATCATCAGGAAGCATGCACTAGAATAAAGCTGCCATAAACATTCCTTGTTTTCGAAATAATTTATATTTATGAGAATGTTTCTAAAAAACATTTTCAACAATAGTCGACATTTATTTACGACTTTTTTCCGACAACCTGAACGCAGCATACATTAGCTCGGTAGCAGGCTAATGTTGCAAACAACACAAGCATCATTTGATTTTAGCTCCTTAATTTCGTACCATGCGACACTTAATTGCAGCAGTGGTACAAAACCAAATTAACTGTAATGTGAAATTGGATATTTTTTATCGATTAGTTTGACTTAGAGCTAAGTACTTCTGGTATTATTTACTAACGTTAGACGGAATAGCAGCTACGCTAACTAAAGTAAATCAACCCATTAGCTTGTTATTGCCATGGTAATTTTCTTCAGCACACAGGGACGGAGGATGTTGAATGAAAGCGAAGATGTACACTCGACAACTGCAGCTAAAGGGCACCATAACAGGTAGCTGGAGAGTCATCGTGCTTAACCGTGTATTTTCGATAATATAAGTGTTGCTATTAAGTTTTTCGTATTGTCAACACGTATATTAACTTAGATGGTGAACCTTGACCATACGTTTTGTCTGGTTGTACGCGCGTTCTGACATAAATGTGTAAATACGTTACCGCCTGAAGGGGAGGGGCAGTGTCATTGTTTCCCCCCTTAATCTACAGTGGTGTCAACTACCTGAATACATTTACTCAAGTACACAATCTTAAAATACTAATACTTTACTTGCTATTTTGTCATTCTACCTCACTACAAATGAAGAGGTTAATAGTGTACTTTTACATTTATACTTTTAGTTACTGTGCAGTTTGGGATTAATGATATGAAATATAACCGACACTTAAATAAGATTTACCGAAATACAAGATGTCATTATCTCTATTTACACTCTTATATTTTTGTCTTCATCATCAGTTGATGTGCTCTCCACATGATGTAAGCTACAACAGGCCTAACTGGGAGGAAAGGACTGCACTAACCAAAAGTCTCAGATTGACCAAAGCAAGGTGTGTGGATTTCTGCCATTTGTATTATAGATTTTCCTTAAAGGGGCCCTATTATGCTTGTTGGGGTATTCCATTTCCTGTTTGTATGTATGGTCTGCAAAGGCTAAAGTCCCATAGTTCCCTCCAGAGGGAGTTTGTCTCCCACTCACTCCCCCCCTGCCTGATAGGCCTTGATTGGATAGTGACATCACAATGTAAGACATAACAGACAGAGGGTGAAAGGAGGTGCTGCAGCACAGGCATTATTAGAAAACACATTAAACATTAAAGCATGAAAACATGTCACAGTTAAGGCACCAAATACAAAACTTAAGCTGAAAAGGACCACAATAGTGCCTTTAAATGCACACCAAGGTTTTCACTGATAATTGCTGATTATACACGTGAAAATCTGTAGGGTTTTAGGGAGTACTGCTGCTAATTTGAAAAAGTAGTACTAAGCCTGTTGTTCCTCCAGAGAGAGTTATAGAACATCTGGTGCAATGCCTCAGGGGAAAAATATATGTATGTGTTAGCCCTGTATAACCTGCTACACAGACTTCTGTATCCTGATCCCATTGGCAAGTTAAAGCACAAGACAGCTGAATCTTTGATTCAACAAGGGAAACTGGAAAGCTACATTCATTCTGCTGGTTGTCATTTTATTGTGAACAGGTTGTTCATTAATCTGTCATTATGGACCGGGAGGAGATGATAAGCTAGCATGTGACAGTTTTTCAGGAGTTCACAGTGCCGAAGTGGCATTCTTTGGCTCAGTTTCGTTTCCTAAGGTGCACGTTTTACACAACTGTTTACGGGAATTGGCTGCCAGGAATGTGAAACTTAAAGCCATTTATCTCCTCTTCCTTCCTCAGTCACTTAACTCCTTCACATTCAGTGTTTTTTTGCCTTCTGTTTGTTATTGATGTCCCCGTACAACCGGTTTTACTTTACTTAATTCCTTTAATTTTATTTTAATATTTTTAATATCTGGTCTGTGCACAAATCCATTGACCATAAAAACCTGAAAGACTTATTGCAGTGGACTAATTATTTACTGCATGTAATATCTGGGGCTCTGTCGCAACCCCAGCTGTTGGTGCCTTTTATTACACTTGTGTCATGATACGTAACCATTTCCAGGAATATGAGAGTGTTGCCTTTGGTCACTAACAGCCATAGACTTGTATGACTGATCTTACTTTCAGTTTCCTTTCTCTGTAACTGCTCAGAAAGGAAAGCAGGGGGGGGGGGGGCGCGGCCGCAAGCCGGGGGAACCCGGGTAGAGTTTATAAGCCCAAACAGGAAGGTTGCTGCTTTAGTTTGTACACAGTAGTTCAGCTTCTGAGGGAGTTGAACCACATATCTTGGCATTTGAAAGAATAGGTAAGATGGAGCCAATCTTTTTATTATTTTTCATGCAAATTTGTGCTGTTCACTTGAGTTTATCCATGTGTTTCTGTATATGTCAGGAATGCTATCCGTAAGAGTTTCTGTTTTTACATTCTAGGACAACGACTACCTTTCCTTCAATGCCATGAATTAACAAATTAAGAAAATACAGTATACTTGTTTTATTTTATAACAAGCTTGGGTCATATCAAAGATGTGTAGATATGTGTTAACCTTTTAAACATTTTGGTATCAGTGACAACATTGTTTGTTATGCTCTCTGTCAGCTTTGCATGTCAAGGCTAAAACATTCATGGTTCATTGGGTGTGCCTCTGACACAGTCTGGTTATCTGGCTCAAATGTCACCACTTCACTATAATGCAGCCTTTAAAACAAGGGAAGTACAAAACGTATCCATATTACTGTGTGGAACTTTATACAATGGGAAAAAAAACACATGTGGTTTGTTACTTAAATGTACAAACATACATTTTGCCATTTATTGTGTTGTAACTTATTTTTAGTAGTCAGTTAGTATACTGTATATGCTGATGATAAGCTAAAATTGGCTGATATATTTGCACAATTTCTCTAAATCGCCACCAAATTTCAAACAATACAAATTCCTTATATTGAAATACATATATATATATATATATATATATATATATAATANTATAATAAATGTATTTATTATTTGTATTATTTTATTATAAGGATCATTCTCTGTTGGATATGTACAGGGTTGTGAACGTGACTTTTAAAATGTATTCCTTTACAATGACTAGTAACATGTAAGAAGAATGTAATCAGAAACCTAATGTAATAAATGTTCTGATAAAAGTAATGCAACCTGATTACTTTCCATTACTTTTGTCATTTATGTCAAATAAATAACAAAAGGATGGCTAACAATAAGGTGTATTATGTAAGACAACAGAACAATGTAACCTTAGCAAAGAAGAAACCCAGATATTTAGTATAAATTATTCACCTTGAATTATAGTCTATGCCTTCAGAACAGTATAGCTTACAAATGCTGTTTTAGTTTAATTCCTGAATGTAAAGCAAACACAGTATCTTTGTTTAATGGATCAGGTCTCTACCCATTGCATTCAAAAAAGATATCTCAAACAAAGAACGATGAAAGTAGCCTAAAGGAAAACGAAAATGAAAATTCAGGCAGTACTTCTACCTATAATATAACAATCTTTATTTTTAAATGAATTGTTATATGGTAAGCCTACTAGTAATCCCCATTTTTCAATGGTCATTTGATTACGTATTTTTTCTTTTTTTGTAACTGTAAACCAGGCAATACATTTACATTTATTTGGTATCCTGATAATCCCATTACATGAAATCTGTTGCTCCCCATTCCTGGATATGTTTGTGTGGTGTGTGCGCATTTTAAAACTCATTACTTTTAATATATGTAGTTTAATAATTAAAATACAGACTACTGCTAAACTCATTTGCAGTGTATATGTATTGTTTTTCACTATTCAAGAAAATATAAAATAATTATATACAAAAAAATGTTTGACATCAGGGTTACACATGTATAATAAACAATTACAAAAAAGATATACATAAGTACATAAAGAAATATAAAGAAAATAAATAATTATATATATAATGTGAAATAATAAAAAAGGTATAATTTCAAATAAAATATTTATCAAATACAAATTTGGTTTTGATTGTTTTTATCTGTTATTGATAGTGTTGTTATTTCCCGACAGCATCACTCATAATGGAGGTCCTGGAGAATATAGTGGCGATGGTGAAGCAGCACTCAGCTGGGATCCCCCTGAAAAAGCTTGCTGTGACCTACAACCAGACATACCACAAGAACCTGACCTTATCCACCCTGGGCTTTGACTCTGTGGCTAGCCTGGTAGCTTATTTAGATAGGGATCTAGTTGTGGAGGGGGAACTAGTGCTTCACAAAACTCACAGGCGTTCCAAGCGAGCTGGGGCTTTAACAAAAGCTACAGAAGACAG